TCCCTGCCCCCATTTTTTTTTTTCCAAATGATTTTGAGTTTTGTTCCACATTGTTCTCCCTCTCTATCCAGGATCTCCTGCATAGATTCCCCCTCTGAGTGGTTGACAGTAGTAGCCGGACACTATCTACCTCTTCTGGTCTCATAGTCATATAGGCTGCGGATCGCATGATATACCAGTCTCTAGGAATAATTGTTTCCATGCTTCTTTGGTTTTCTTCATTCTTCTTTGCTCTGGACAAAGAGAGACCCATCATTGCATCTAGATGGCTGCTTGCAAGCTTTTAGATCCCAGTCGCTCGCCAAAGCAGGAGGTAGAACAATGCTTTGTGTAGTATGTTATGCTAATTGAGCTTGATGTCCCCTGTGACGATGGTTCCAAGCCCACAGGTTTAACTACTTGGTCCCTCTGGGTAGCTGGCTGTGACCAAGGAGGTACACTGCAATCTTTACCATTCTTTTAAAAAGCAGAGTTTTAGGCCAGCCACCTGCAAAGTCCATCTTGAGTGAGCACAGCTTAGAATTTAAGAAGTTTGTTTCCATACAGTTCTGTGGAAGAAGGTGTAGATTTGGAGTATGATTCTAGACATTTATATGACAAAAAAAATCTTTATATATATATATATATATATATATTTGCACAGTTTTAAAATAACCTAGAAGAAAAAGTCTGTTAGTCTGCTGCTGTTAAGTCGTTTCTGACTCATGGAGATTCTGTGTGTTTGGGAAGATTAATTGTGAGAAGTAGACTGGTATAGGATGTATTTCAGATGGGAAGCTAATATTAGACTGCTTCATAGGGTTTCCTGGGCTGTAATCAATTGGTTTGTGCTCAGCTGCTAACCTAAATGCAAACTCACCCAGTGGTACAGCAGAAGAAAAAGCCTGGTGATCTGCCTCCATTTTGCATTATAGCCAAGAAACTTAGTTGACAACAGAATTCTTGGGAAGAGGGTGGTTATGGGCATGGTTTTTCATGAACTAGGGTTCCATGGAACATCTTTTGTGATAGCCTAATCTACAGGCTTGGTAATCTGCTTCCATTAAGATTATAGCCAAGAAAACCTTACTACTCTGTAACACATGTGGTCACCATGAGTCAGAACCAACTTGCTGGCAACCAACAACAATAATCTTCATGGAAGCAGATCACCAGGCCTTTCTTCAGCAAAGCCGCTGAGTAGGTTGGAACTGTAACCTTTACGTTAGCAGTTGAGTACAAAATGTTTGTGCCACCTAGAGACCTATTTAAATAGCCTGTTGTTGTGTGCCATTCAGTCAATTTCAACTCACAGTGACCCTATCTAAAACCAAACTCACTGCTGTTGAGTCGGATCCAACTAGTAGCAACCCCTCCTTGGGTTTCCAAGGCGGTATTTCTATGGAAGTAGATAGCCCAATCTTCCTTTCCAGGAGCGGCTGGTGGGTTTGAATGGCCAGCTTTCTGGTTAGCAGTCAAATGCCTTATGCACTATGCCACAGAGCTCCCAGCCACCCTACAGGACAGAATATAATTGCCCTGCAGGGTTTCTTAGGCTATAATCTCAAGGGCAGTGAGTTTGGTTTGATTTGAATCTTTACAGAAGCAGATTTAAATAACTTAAAGGAGGCTAAAGGAGCTCTGGTAGCCTAATGCCTTAGGCATTTGACTGCTAACCAGAAGGCTGGTTGTTCAAACCCAACAGCCACTCCTCGAAAGGAAGGTTGGGCAATCAATCTACTTCCGGTGGAAACCCCTGGAAACCCAAGGAGGGGTCGGCTATGAGTCAGGTACAACTTGAGGGCACATAACAACAACAACAACAAAGGAGGGTAAATAGAATATTTTCTAGCTAGATGCTCAAAATGCTTTAGGGAGATCACTTGTGCCACTCAAATGTAAGTAAGTGTTTAGGGATATTTCCTTGAGCTAGTAAGAGATGGTGACCATGGAATCAACCAGGAATCTTGAACTCACTGAGCACAACTGGGACATGCGGTCCCGGTCCCATGAACTATGCCTGAGACCATATTAGCGTGGCTGAGAAGATCAGCTGGAGGGAGGGTGCTATGAGAGATGGGGAGATGGTGACAGTCCTCATATTCTCATTCAGGTAAAGACTAGACATGAACTGGAATCTATCATGACCCTCTAGGAGCCTTGGCCACATATTTATTAAGATTTCTTGGGAAAGGGTTGTTGTTGTTGTGTTGTTAAGTGCCCTTGAGTCAGGCAGACTCATAGTGACCCCTCCTTGGGTTTCCGAGGCAGTATCACTACGGAAGTGGATTGCCCCATCTTCCTTCCGAGGAGTGGCTGGTGGGTTTGAACCACCAGCCTTCTGGTTAGCAGTCAAGTGCCTTAGGCACTATGCTATGGAAACTGAAATTTGTTTACACACACATGGATATGAGCTTGCTCTGTACTCCAACGTTACAAATATTGGCAAATACTATCTAAAGTATTGACTCATGGACATCTGCCTTTAGAATTCAAGGTGATAAAATGGAACATGATGTTTCAAATCCTGGTCAATAATTCAGATTGTGATTACAAAACTGTTTAAATCTGCCTTAAAAAGTCCTGCAGCCCAGTCCAGTCCTGCAGCTCCACAGGCTGACCATCCAGGGCTTTATTTCCCACAGGATGGGTCTACTCCTGCCCCTGGCACTCTGTGCCCTGGCCACATGCTGTGGGGCTACATCTATGCCCCAGCCAGTCCCCAAGCCCTCACTACTCCTCCCCCGGGGCTGCAATGACTCAGACGTGCTGGGCTTCGCTGGCTTCGCCCTGGAGAATATCAACAAAGACCGAAAGGAGGGTTATGTCCTGAGTCTCAACCGAGTCAGTGACGCCTGGCAATACAGACAGGCAAGTGAGGGTCATAAGAGCATGTTTCTGTGGAGGCCAGGGTCTGGGGTGGGACTAGAGACACAAGGGAGCAGGTGCGTTTCAAACTGTCAAGCTGAGAAAGCTCTGCTGTCCCCTGTCACATGTGCTATAATGCTTCTACTGTCATTAGGAAGAAGGGCTAGCAAACATTCTAACACTTGCCCAGTATTCAACAATTCTTACAGATTCTTCAAAGCATAATGTCCTTTTGCTCTGCCATCAAGCAGGTCTTTTGGGGTTTCTGCTTCGTGTAGGATGTGGTGCATTTCTTCACCCTGTCCTGCAGGATGTTCCGGGATCCCTGTTCTATCTCACTCTAGATGTGTTGGAGACACACTGCCATGTGCTCAGCAAAAAGTCATGGATGGACTGTGAAGTGAGGGACCTACATGAATCGGTAAGTACTGATTCTCAGTGGTTCTAGGGAGAAAAGCTAGATCACCCTTTTCCTACAGAGTAAAGATTGTTCAATGGCTATCATCATTTCAATGTCTCTTTTCATAATCTCATTGGCAGGGTGTCTATGTGCTTCTTCTAATGTCATGGACAGGGCGAAGTGTCTTTCTAAAAGTCCCCCTGGGGTCATGGAGACCAGAAATGCAAAGTTATTCAGAAGTTGCTTGGTGAACTCAAATTTTCTACCTCCAGGATCCTTTTGCAGGCTTTTGAGCAGTGTTTAAAATGTGAAAAGGGATCTAAGGTGAAGAGTGTAAGTGTGTGTTTAAGGTAGACTGTGGTAGCTCTGGTGCATAGTGCCTAAGGCACTTGACTGCTAACCAGAAGGCTAGCAGTTCAAATCCACCAGCCACTCCTCGGAAGGAAGATGGGGCAATCCACTTCCGTAGTGATACTGCCTCGGAAACCCAGGGAGGGGTCGCTATGAGTCGGGTCTCACTCGACGGCACATAACAACAACAATATGGTAGCAATGGAGATAGAGCCTTTTTTTTTTTTTTTTTTTGTATGTTTCATTCTAAGGAAACTGGGTATGGTCACACATTATAGGAGCTCTAGATGTTTCATGAAAGAGAAATACTTTCCTGGAATCACAGAATCAAAAGAACCTTTAGAAGAAGATTCCTAGATACTGATGTGTTTGCAAGTAAACCATTTGACCAAAATATCTTTTTCTTATCGTAACCAAGTTTGTCAAACTGAACCTTCCTGATTTTGAAAAGCAAATTGTCTTTTGCCCTCTTGTGAGTGATATTTGTTAAGGGGATGCGAACTACATTAACAAATTAAAAGTTGCATAATGAGTCCATCATAATAGAGGTTTCCTTCTCACTCATGTAAAGTTCAAAATAGGAGTTCTGATCAGGCAGGAAACTTTCCTTCAAGGGGTGACTTGGAGATCCAGCTGCCGTGCACGTTGTGGCTCTAGACTCTGCCATTCTCAACTGTGGCCTCCCTGGGGGCATGCTTGTCTGCACCAAGCTATGAAAGAGGAGCAGGTGACCTTTATGGGCCAGACCTGGAAGTGTAATACATCACTTCTGCTCACCTTCCTGTGGTTAGAACTCAGTTATAAAAAGTCACACTGTAAGGGAGGCTGGAAGTATAGCCTACCTGCGTCCCAGGAATAAAAGATGAAACAAACTTGATGATCAGCTACCATTTTCTCCCTTCCAAAAACAATGAAAATTGGACCTTAAATATCATATCACTTTTTTAAAAAAATCTCCAAATTCCATTTGTTGGGCATTTTTAACACCCATGGTTCATCCCTCCATTGTCGTAAAATGTGTTTGCTTGGTTCCAGGTTTATGGTCGATGCAAAGCAATGTTTTATGTTAATAAGCCAAGAAGAATTCTCTATTTAGTTGCCTATAACTGTACCGTTCGCCCAGGTAAGAGATCACTCTGATTTTGTTCATTTTAATAAATGGTAGGGAAAGAGGATTAAGTAGGTCTTGAGTTTTTTTATGACAAGGAGCTCAGGTGGTATAGTGCCTAAGGCTAACCAGAAGATTGGTGGTTCAAACTCACTGGCCATTCCTTGGAAGGAAGACTGGGCAATGTACTGTAGAGATACTGCCTTGGAAACCCAAGAAGGGGTTGCTCTTAGCTAGAACTGACTCAACAGCAGTGAATTTGATTTTTTTTGGTTTATGACAAGGGTATACAGGTTTTCTCCCAATCTTATCTTCATTTTTATTTCAAGGTCAAATTCTTAATATTTTCAATATTAGTCTCCCATCTGAAGTTCCTCTTATACTACTCTACTTCTCACAATTAATCTTCCCAAATAATTCAAAATATCCAATCCTGAATTTTTAGTCATAAAAGGCATGTCTACAACTGCTTCCCAGACTCGTTTCTAGTTCTATCTGCCATTATTTCCTTGTCTACACCAAATCTACACACTACTCAACTGGATGCTTCTGAATACACATCACATTCTCTGATCTTTGCACCTTGGTTATACCTCTCCCTCCTCAAAACATGCCTTTCCCAGATGGCATCTGCATTTGGAATTCATACCCCTGAAGCCTGCAGTAGAGTTAGACATTATGTGAGGTTTTAGGAACACCTGACATGACATAATGAAACCCCAACCTTGAAAGGCACTCAGTCTGCTTTACAGACACAATGATGATGGAAGGTATTGACCTCATTGGGGGAGAAAGGTCTTATATCAACATGCTATATGATATGTTATTAAGTAATATTTCTAGTGTAAATAAATTTGTGTGAAGTCAAATGCATTTTGCTTTGATTTTATTTTAATCATGAAAAGTAATACATGCTTATTGCAGAAAACTGACTTGCTTTCCAGAAAATTGCCTTTATCACCCCATCCTTGCTAACACTGAATTTTTGTCAGTTTTTGCCTTTGTCGTGTTCATAGGATTTATAGGACTAAACTCAATAAAGAGTTTTGTTTTAAATTGGTCTCTTTGACTTCAACAGTTTCTCGAAGAAAGATTCATAATACGTGCCCTGACTGCCCAAGTCCCAGCTCCGCTGATTTGTCAGATCCCAGAGTTTTGGAAGCTGCCACTGAATCTCTTGCAAAATACAACAAAAAGAGCACCTCAAAACAATATTCTCTTGTCAAAGTCATCAGGGCTTCCAGTCAGGTAAAGCTAAAATGCCCAAGCCAGTTACACGTAACATGTGTCTCACAGTGTTGCTATAGGTTCTTAAGCTAAGATTAGAATACCAAGGCTTTTTTTTTTTTTTTTAAATAACAGGGGTCTTCTCTTTCTTTATAATCCCTACTGTGGTAGACTTGGTAAAAGCACATTCTATCATACTTTAGTTTCTGAATTGTTCCATGGCATTTCCATAAGAGTTATGTTATTTGATCTTACCTTCATTGGCCTTATGGTAAGATGGGGAATAGACTCATTGCCTCCTTGAGGAGTCTCTCTAGGTTCACTAGTTTCTGGTACTTTCTCATGTCTGTTGACCATGGACCATTTAGCAAGTCACTTCTACTCCATAATAAGGCCTGCAGTGGAAGTTTAATTTTATGGGTTTGAAGAAACAGATGGTTGTTGTTGTTGTTATGTGCCATGGAGTCGGACCCGACTCATAGTGACGCCTTCTTGGGTTTCCGAGACAGTATCACTATAGAAGTAGATTGCCCAACCTTCCTTCCAAGGAGTGTCTCGTGGGTTTGAACTGGCAGCCTTCTGGTTAGCAGTCAAGTGCTTTAGGCACTATGCTACCAGAGCTCCTGAAGAAACAGATACTCATAAGTATTTGGATTGCACTGATATCTCTAGCAAATGGAGAAAAACGTATCTAAAAGGCAATTCTATTAGAGGAAGGAAAAAAATCCCTCCAAAGGAAAGAATTTAGGGCCCACTCAAATTCTTAAAAGGGGAACAGAGATATGGTGCTTATATTTCCTATGCAACAAATCATAAAACATTTTTGATCAGTGTGGGGATTTGCAGGGACAACAGGATAGATGTACTGACTGTCACTCTGGGGGTGTTTTGTTTCTGTAACTATAGCGTCTCTAAACCTGAATCATGTTCCTGCATGGGAAGGTTTGATTTTTCTTTCTCATCTTATCTTTTAACAGTGGGTGTTTGGTCCTGGCACCTTTGTGGAATATTTGGTTAAAGAGTCACCATGTACCAAATCCCAAACCAGCAGCTGTTCACTTCAGCTCTCCGACTCTGTGGTAAGTGTTCCTTAATGCCTTTATAATTTAAGAGTTGGATTCCCAGTTCATCTAGAAGTATTTACTGAGTGTCAATTATGTACAATGTATTGTAGAGCTTAAGCTTTCTTTCCTCATGTCAAGGAGTTTATTGATTATAGATAAGGCAAGCCCAGATGCAGTAAATCAGGGATTTTATTGAACTATGTAGTACAATTGCAGAAAGTGATCATAGGGGATAGTAAAAATACAGACAAAATCTCTGCAGTGATTGGTGATGGTCCTTCTTTGGTCTGAACAAATCATGTTGGAATATAGTGTGGTATTGCATTCCAGGGACTACCTTTTAAGGACAAAGTCAAATAGGTCTTCATTCGAAGGACTGCATCCAAGATGAAGAGGGGCCTTGAAACCCTTTGAAATGTAAACTGGCATGGTGTATTCAAGCTTAAAGATCAGTGGTTTTTAGTTTATTCACAGAGTTGTGTCACCATCACCACTATCTAATTTCAGAATTTTTTCATCATCTCCGAAGAACCTCCATACACATTAGCGGTCAGTCCCCATTTCCTCTTCCCCCAGGTCTTAGCAATTGTTAGTCTAGTTTCTGTCTTTATGGCTTTGCCTATCCTGGATATTTTACATACACCTGTTTTGATTAGGAGCTCTGGTGACATAGTGCCTAAGGCATTTGACTGCTAACCAGAAGGCTGGCGGTTCAAATCCACCAGCCACTTCTTTGAAGGCAGGTTGGGCAATCTACTTCTGTAGTGATACCACCTCAAAAACTCAAGGATGGGTCACTATGAGTCGGATCCAACTCAGTGGCAGTGAGTTTGGTTTGGTTTGTTGTTTTGGTTATCTAGTGCTGCTTTAGCAGAAGATACAAGTGGATGTCTGTAACAAACAGGGACTTACTCTCTTACAGTTCAAGAGGCTAGATGTCTGAGTTCAAAGTGCCAGCTCTAGGGGCTGGGTGAAGGCCCCTTAACCTTGGGTTTCAGCTCTGCCTCTTGTTCCTAGCCCACTGGAGGCATCTTTTACTCTTAACTCAGCAGCTGTTGACTGCTGAGGCTAATAAACCGAAGGCTGACAAATAAAATGGCACAGTCCCCAGATTATCAAGCAACATGGCAGGCCATCATTTCAAGTCCAGAAACAGTGCTAAGATGAGCAGACAACATGGCAGACCACTCACTGATGACTCAGCTGAATGCAGCATCCAAATATGCCAAGAAGCTCAAGATCCTTCTCATAGCTTCTTCCTATATACTAGATGCAGCCCATATCCCTAAGGGAGCTACTCAGCTGCTTACAGTAGATTCCACCATGGAGTTGGTTAATAGTCTCATCATGGGTAATAACAACATCCAGCTGCTAGCCACTCAACACCAGGCCCAGACAAGTTGACACACTACCTTAAACTACCACAATACCTACTCCTCACTTGTTGACCATCTTTTTATCTGACATTTTGCATTTAAGACAATAGTAAAATATCTACTATCCAACTCTTTTGCAGTATGTCTGGCATAATGAATGCTAAGTGCTAGGTCAGAGTAACACTGGCCATGATGTTTAAGGTTCTGTGTTAACTTGGCTGGGCCATGATTTTCAATGGTTTAGCAATTATGTAATGATGTAATTTGACAGTTATGTAAATGATTTAGTCATCCTCCATTTTGTGATCTGATGTGATCATCCTCCATTTTTCCATAATGCCAATTTTCACATACTTCCCGGTCTTTGGAATCTAACCATAAGTGAGGAGAAGATGTAAATGGATTTATACAATGTGTGATCTTTTGTATCTGGCTTCTTTACACTGCATTATGTTTTCAAGGTTTATCCATGTTGTAGAATGTATCACTACTTCATTCCTCTTAATTGCTGATTAATATTCCATTTCATGGTTAAACCACATTTTGTTTATCCATTCATCACATGATGGATATCTGGGTTGTTTCCACATTTTGACAACGAGAAATAATGCTTCTATTGAAATTACATACAAATTTTTGTGTTTTTATTTCTCTTGGATATATAAATAATATATATATAGAATTACAGGTCATAGGAAACTCTGTTTAACATTTTGAGGAACGGCCTGACTATTTTCCAAAGTGATTACACCATTTTACAATCCTATCAGCTGAGTTTTCCACTTTCTGTACATCTTTGCTAATATTTGTCATTATCTATCTTTTTTGGTTGTAGCTATCTTACTAGCTGAGAGCTGATATTTCACTATGGTTTTGATTTGCATTTCCTTGATGGCTAATGATGTTGAACATCTTTTCACATGTTTAATGGCTATATGTATATCTTCTTTGGAAAAATGTCTATTTAGATATTTTGCCAATTTTTAATATGTTTGTTTTAGAATTCTAAGAGTTCTTTCTATATACTGAATAGAATCTCCTTATCAGATATATGACTTTTTATTTCTCCTTTGAATTTTGCCAGTGTTTTGCAGAATTCCTACAAAACTTGCTATATGACAGGGCTCTGTTTTTAGGTTAATATATGTTTATAGTTGTTATGGCTTCTTGATGTATTGACCCTTTTTTGATCATATAATTTTCTTTGTCTCTAGCAACAATTTTTGTCTTAAAGTCAATTTTTTCTGTTATTTGTATAGTGACTGAAGTTCTCTTTTTGTTGCTATTTGTATAGTTTAATTTTTTTCCATCCATTTATTTTCAACTTATTTGTGTCTCTCACAAGGTTTTTTAAATCCAGTTAATTTAGTATTCTGAATTTCTAATGGAATAATTGGGAAAACACATTTGTCATGCTCTGTGACACCTCTCTCCCTCACTCTTCAATGATATATTGTTATAATCCAAAAACTTTCTGGTTATTTAAGAAGAATAATATAACTTAGGCTTACAGGTGAGGAGAGACATTCATTATCACAAAGGATGTTTCAAAATCTGTCCTGAAATACAATGCTGTCAGTGATAGGATAATATCCACACGCCTACAAGGAAGACCCGTTAATATGACTGTTATTCAAATTTATGCCCCAACCACCAAAGCCACACATGAGGAAATTGAAGAATTTTA